TTATGTATTACTCGAAAATACGTTAATAACTATGTGTGGTATTGTAGCAATTACAGCCTCAAATCAAACATTCTATTATATACGTAAGAAAGAACTTGGGTTCTCGGATATAAGGAGGACTATCGGAGCCGATTGCCACCGTCCCTTTGTTCCAATTAGAACGTGCATATTTCAGCCGCCACCGTCAAAGGCGAAAAAGAAACGTGCAACAATCTGATCAATGAGATGTTCTAGAGCCTCATGTGTACCAGATACACAGCGATGCGTCTCTACCCAACGAGCCCAGGTACTGCGACACGCAGAACACCGGCACCGAAGTGGTGCCGTTCTATACCCCCACCAATAGGCGAGTGTGGTGTGCGCCTGCGTGAGATGAAAGCGAACCTGGAAGTGAACGGTTTGGAGTATCTCTACCACGAACCCCGCACTTGGCCCAAGGCTTGACCCAATCCCGGGGTCCCCCAACAGGAGGGTTTTTAAACAAGGATTTGATCCCATTCCCGCCCGACATTCAGTACAAAAGGCGATTTCTAATTCTTAGCTCAGTGTTACACAGGCCTCGATAGGGCAAGCCGGTTTGTCGCTGTGGATACTGCGGCTCGCTAATGAATCATGGGGGTGATTGATAAGAGCTGTTGCCTGTGACGATTCCTGAACGCATGTGGCAACTTTTCGAGGCGAAACATACTCAAGAAGGGTTATGCACGTCTTCACCGGTCGAGTGATAGTTTAACTCTGTTAAGAGTAACATTGCATGCGAACAATGGCAACCAACGCCGACTGCATGCGTTGGAGATGGACACGAGGTACAGGGTAGCTGCCGACAGAAGGGCTAGACCGGCCCAGAGAAGACCTAGACCTCGCCCAGACCATGCAACAATACAGCTCAGCACCAGAGTCGGCAACGCCGGGTATTAATAATATTAAATTGCTATTGCAGCTGAGACAGTTTTGATGCTTCTACCAATGGAAGGTGCGTGCCTTCGGATAGGATGGTGGGAGTCTCTTTGACTTGGGGGTTAGTTTCTTGGTCGGCTCAGTTTGAGGATGTGGTATAGGTAGACTACCAAGAGTTGCGCTTCCGTTTTTCTACTAAGGTTATTAATAATGTCTGCATTTGGCATCCGAAGCATACCAAGTGGGATGCTGTCACTGCGCACCAGAGATTGGATGCTACCTCGCCCTGGACTGGAAGGCTGACAGCCACCGATCAGGACCGAGCGGAATCGTGCTGACCACGAGGGAAGATGACTCACCAGCCACAAGCCTCTTCTGCCGGGCTTGTGTGCAAACAGCTAGTCCTAGTAGTGCGAGAATAAGCTGGCTCTGGCCTTTCTCGGAGCAATGACGTTCGGCAAATTCGTAGCGGATGTAGATCGGCTCGTGCAATTCTTACCTGCCTTTTACTAACTCACCTCGACTAGCCTCAATGGAGGGGCGGCCATTTCTTTGACCTTGCACAACTCTGCAGCCAGACTCTTCGGCCAGCCCCTCGCCATTTCTCGTCCCATCCGCAGCTGCTGAACTCCTGAATGGCATGCGGCTCCATGTACCGTAGCGCCCAGCCCGACGCCGCGTTGAAACGAGACGAGCCGAGACGAGACACCCGGCGCAGCAACCAATAACGATTCGACGTTGGCTCCGGATCCCTTCTGCTCAGCCAGAATCATCCCGCCATCCGAACGCAGATCACCATGGCGAGCGCATTCAAGCTGGACGGCCAGGGCCCGGCGCATGGCAACACCAACACCCCGTCGCCGCAGATGCACCATCTCGACAGCCCTTCCAATGCCACCGTCTACCAGACCACCGGGCCCGACGCCCACACCAGCCCAATCCTGGCCACCGATGGCTCCGGGCCTGCGGTGAATCCCCGATCCTGTGTGACATGCCGCCGACGCAAAGTCCGCTGCGACAAGCAGATGCCGTGCTCCAACTGCCGCCGCGCCCTGATCCCCTGCGTCTTCCCCGCCCCAGGGCGAGCTCCCCGCCAGCCGCGACCGAGAGACCCCAACGCCCCTCCCAAGAACACGAGCCAGCGCGAGGCTGAGCTGGTCAAGCGATTGAGGAAACTGGAAGGCATTGTGGAGGAGCTGAGCGGCCAGATTGACTTCGAGGGCGTTGCGAAGCCCTCTTCACCGGGCGAGTCCCCCGAGGCGTCTAATGCCGGCGCTGCCGGCGTCAGGCGGACTTCTGCAAATATTCAGGGCAGTATCTCGAGAAGAGGCACAGAGAGAAATGCGCCGGGATCTTCTGGCTCTGGTCCAAGCCCAAAGGATACAGACTCCGTGAGTGATATGGGTAGCGACGCAGCGCACAAAAGGGACGTCAGTCAGCAACTGGGCCGGTTGGTCCTGAATGATCACAAGGGAAGCACTCGATACGTCAGTTACGGCTTTTGGTCGAAACTGAATGATGAGGTAAGATTGGAGATATATACATTCCTAGATTCGTATCTGACCAGAGGCGCAGCTCGAATCATTGAGAAACGACTATCAGAAAGTGACCGATGAAGAGTCGGACTATTCAGACTATGAGGAGACGCCTGTTCACAGTCCGGAAGGCCCGCCTGGTTCCTCTGGAGATCACCATGCCTTCATTTTTGGCTACAAGTCGGCCGATGTTGATTTGCGGGGTTGTCACCCGCTCCCCTCTCACATACCTTTTCTGTGGTCTGTCTTCCGAGAAAACGTCGACCCGTTAATTAAAATTCTGCATGTTCCCACGATGGAAGAAATACTACGAGATGCGAGGAAGAACCCTTCCGATCTTTCTCCTGGAAATGCGGCCTTGGTATTTGCCATATACTACAGTGCCGTGGTCTCTATGGAACCTGAAGAGGTAAATCAAACCACTGTGATTTGGTCCCAACCAAATCGAATGAGCCTGGGATATTAACGAGTAATTGCCAGGTTCGAACAAACTTTAATTCCGAGAAGGACGACCTATTGAAGAGGTATCGATTTGCCTTGGAGCAGTCGCTCGCAAAAGCAGATTTTCTAAACTCTTCCGAGTTGGTTGTGCTCCAGGCCTTTACTATTTTTATCACAGTGGTTAGGCGGTTCGACCGAAGCCGTTTCTGCTGGACCCTGCTAGCTCTTTTGATACGAATCGCCCATGGCATGGGCCTTCATCGTGATGGATCCCAGTTAGGCCTTACTCCATTCGAGACAGAAATGAGAAGGCGGTTGTGGTGGGGAATCTTGGCCCTCGACCTTCGATCTGCAGAAGAGCTGGGCACTGAGTTGTCGATTTCAGAAACGTCATATGATACCCAATTGTTCTTAAATATCAACGACTCCGACATCCATCCGGCCATGAAGGAGCCTCCTGCACCACGAGAAGGAAGAACCGACACATCAACAGTTCTTGTTCGCTATGAGATGATGGTTCTTACGCGCCGCCTCTTTACAGATCTGCCTTCGAAGAATAATCAGATCTCGCATGCCGACCTTGTCAACATGCAAACGCAACTCTATCAGCGTATCAAAGAACGATACCTCGCTTACGCCAAAGGCGATTCAGATCCGCTATGGTGGATGGGTGCCACTGTTATTCGCATCATCATGGCAAAGATGCGCTTGTTTATGTATCAGCAGACCATGTTCCCTGGTGCTGACGCAGAGCTCTCTTGCGATATTCGTCAGAGCATCTATCTTGCTTCCATTGAAATTTTGGAGCTCTCTACAAAGCTGGATTCGGACGCTAAATGCAAGCAGTACAAATGGCTGTTCTTAACGTACAGCAACTGGTTCTGCCTTGCGTTCAATCTTATCGAGACTTGTCGCCGGCCTTGGACCCCTCTTGTTGAGCGTGCCTGGGAAATTGTTACCCGATTTGACAATGACTCAATTCATTTCACCAAAAATCCTGGCCACTCGGCCATCTTGCTACCTATGCACAAACTTTTCGCCCGCGCGAAAAGGCACCGGGCAGCCGAACTTGCTCGGTTCCAGGCTGACCCAGAGGAGGCCCGACACCTTGACTTCGAGGAGCAATTACACCCTACCGATAGCCGCTTCGGACCTATACCCGGCTACGAGACACGCATGGATGATGTCAGGCAGAGATGGTGGTTTATGATATCACCTGAAGGAGGGAAACTACCCTCGGTTGAACAAATCCGGGCTGCCGCGCAGGCGGCTGACGATGGGGCCCAGCCACAGCCGCTGACTGACCCAACAAGGACAACGGATATGTTCCAGCAGAGCGAGATCCCTGGAAATCTGGAATTTCCCGACGAGGCCATGGGCATCATGGATGAGATTATGTCACAGCCTAATCTGCCACTATCAGCCCTCTGGCCTCTACACGAGATTGGCGGCGCCGCCAAAAGCCAACTCGGCACTTCTCTTGCACCGGGTTCAAGCACCATAACTCAACCAATGGTCAACAACTCACTCAGTCAAGAAATATTATCCTTAAAGCAGCAGGCAGCAGCCCGAAAGGAGACCACCACCCATGTGCCCCCCTATCTTTGGACTGGTACCTATGATTATCCAACACAGACCCCCACGACGGCAAATATGCCCAGCACGCAGCCCGTGGACATGGAAATGCTTGACGCAGGCTTTGACTGGCGGGACTGGGGTCAGAACCTTCATAATCTAGATATGAGTGGTATGCCATAATGTCTTCGATTATGTTTAGGAGCATCCAATATATAACGCCGCTCTTGATGAAATCTTAGTTCCAGCTGCAAAGCATCATGCGAATACGAAATGGTAGGGAAAAAATACAGCGTTCTTAGAGGTGATGGAGTTTTGGTAGCGTTGTATCAATTATGATTAGAATACCTTGGCAAGCTTGTCATAAGGCGTTTCGACCTGAGAGGTGTATATTAACAATCTCCAAAAAACAAAAGTCAATACTCTATCTCCTCTTCTACTATTCGCGAACTGAACTCATCATTGTTATGTCTATTGATCGATTAGGTATATATCCACAATGTTACCGTTCTATAGCCGTGAGACCACCCCAAATGAACATGCCAATGAGATCTAGAGTTTGTTCCCGCCCCCCTTCGCCTGCCGCTCCTCCTCTAACACTTCCTGCCTCAGCCGAATCTCCACCTCCGTCGGTCCCGCCTTCGTGAACCGGACCAGCACGACCCTCTCCCAGTCCCCTCCCCTCGCCGTGCCCTTCAGCTCCGGGCCCGGCTTGTCTATACCCAGGACGATCCTCCCGTCGCTCGCGCGGATGAACAGGTTGTGCGGGCTCATGACCTTGTCCGCCCAGCTGATCCGCGCCGTCGGGTGCTCCCTCCCCTTGGGTGTCTCGGCTGTGGGTACCTGCTCCAAGAAGGAGAGCAGCCTCTCCCGCTGCGAGGTGTACTCCTCCAGGCTGGCCTCGGCGGCGGCGATGAACCGGGTCAGTAGGACTAGGAGGAAGGCCTGGGGCGGGAAGAGGATGATGTCCTTTTTGGCGGCGAGGGAGAGGAAGTGCTGGGCCGGGGCGAAGACGGCGGCCGTGTGCTCGACGCCGCCGTCGGGCGTGGGCACGAGCATTTCTGATGGGAGGTTGCTGGCCAGGGGGAGCATGTAGAGGTACATTTGGGTGGTGAAGCGTTTGGGGACGTTGGTTGGGGTGATCCAGCGTGTGAAGGGGCGGAGATTGGCTAATGAATAACATGTTTAGTATTCTGGATGTTACAAGGTAGAAGTGGGATATACGCACATGTGTCTGGGACGGCGTTTATGCTCTCTAGCCAGTCACCAAACTTGATCTGGTTATTATGGATCTTCTTGCGGGCAGCTTGGATCTCCTCGGATGGGAGGGCGATCAAGTCGTCGCCACCATTCTTGGCTTTAGCTAGTAAGATGCCGGTTTCCTCGAAGCATTCTCTAATAGCGCCGAGTCTGTAAGCCTCGCCATCTTCGTGTCTTCCTGGCGAGTCTACGTCAGGGACGGCGCCATCATGATAGGGATCAAGGTTGCCGCCGGGGAAGACATGGGCAGAAGCGAAGGAGGTTGACGTCTGTACACGGTGGAGTAGGAGGACTTGGTTGGATGGAGAGAGGAGGACAACAGATGAACTGGGCCGAGGATGGCTAATGGGCTTGGGTGAAGCAGTGGAAGACTGGCGGCGGCCACTCATGGTGATGGGAGCGATGTGGTGAGTGTTCTGGGGGTGGTTAGAAGATAGGAATGTGGAGGCTTGAATGACGGCCCTGCACCCTAATGTACGGGCTGCATTGGAGCAGTTGAAAGGGAGGAAGTGGGATGCTAGTCTCCCGGGAAAAAGAAGAGCTAGGGACATGACATGTGGGAGAGCGAGCAGGGGACCGATCCCATCGAGATATCCATCTACAACCTGGGCCTTGTATTGGGCGAAGTCGTCGTTGAGGCTATCCGGGGATGTGGGTATCAAATTGCGGGGGACCAAGTGCCGAGGTCCGTCGCTTAAGCCGCTATAAGGCGCCTAAACAGCGTCGTTCAGCTACTTTATTTGATGCTCTTAGCACCATGTCGTCAATGATCCTGCCCGTAACTGAAAATAGGTAATATTCAATCGATTCTATAAATGGGGTTCGCAATCCTCGTTGCTATCTCGATCTATTTAATGAAGCCGTGTCATCATAATATGCAAGGGAGTAGGTATGCAAAATCGTTTCAATCCACCTTTATCCAGTAAACGCCGAATGATCAAGCTCCGTGGACAAGAACGCCGGGCATCAAACGTTTATCTCCTGCTTGGAGATCTCATCATTTGAACCAATTCAATATCGCTTTCGTTCCTTCCCCCGTAGGTTTACCCTCCATAAACAGCAAATACTCTTTGATTCGCACCATCTCTTTACTTCCCCGGGACTCACTTCAGCATCACGTCCAACCCGTGTTAGCTGTCCCAGATTGAGCCATGCTGTGAGATCTTCAAGCACAATTGGATCATAGAGCAGTATCTTTTCATGCCAACTCGGGTTTGCTGGGTCTGTTGATCTGGGCGCCGTGACCACCGCTTTAGAAATATGTTCAAAAAGAGATGCCTCATCCTCAGTACTAGGCATTGACAAGGATAGCTCCGTATCCTCGGTGATAGAAGCAGATAGATCCATTGGCATGGGTGGTGGGGATGATGTTAATTCAGGTGAAGACCTTGAAGATATTGATGAGTTATCATCATTGTCCGATTCCGAGTCTGGAATTTCTATCACGGTTCTATTTGTAGAACCTTTTGGCTTCGACGCAGCTGATCCAGCCTCTGGGCTAGCTGGCGGCGACTTTCTTGGCCGGCCGCGCCCTCTTTTAGGAGATTCCTGGGTGGGAATAGGATCGACCGGCTGCTTCGAATTAAGCGATGCCGAGCTCGTTTTAGGCTTTCTAGGTGCTCTTCGAGGTTTTGGGGGCGAGGGCGGCGGTTGGCCCGAAGGAGGTGGCACTTGCTCATGCTCCATCATCGTAGGAGTAGGAGTAGGAGTAGGACTCTTCCTTGGACGTCCTCGCGGCCGTTTAGGGCTCGGCGGCTTTTCCGTCGTTTGGCTTGGATTGCCTCTGGGATGAAATGTAGTTGCTGAGGTGGTCAGAGTCCTCGCACTATTCCCAGCCCCACCAACTTTACTTCGCCAGCACTGTTCTAAAAGTGATATCATAGCTGTTCTTTTCTTCACCGGTTTGAATCCATATGAAGCAAATTCCTTCGCAAGCTGAGCATCAGTGAAAAGCTCATACGAAGGGCATGGTGGCGTTGCTTCTGGGTGTTGTGGTGTGTTGCTTTCGAGCTCAGTACTAGGCAGTTTGCTTGCGCTTGATGACGTTTTGCCCAACTGGACCGCGTGTGCATCTTTCGGTTTCTGGCTATCGGTGTCAATTACTTGACGGCTAGAAACCGGGCTCGGTTCGTCTTCAGGTACAAATACTTTTGGGTAAGTGGGTGGCAGTATGTCTGAAAGAGTTTCAAAAGTCTCGTCGACATGATCAGTAGTTATACCTGAAAGTGGTGGTAATGAGGGCTCATTCTCAGCTCCAATGTAGCCAAAGGGATCTTTGGGAATTTCGCTTTGTGGGGGGCTTGACGGGTTTCCCACAAGATCTACAATTTCTACATCAAACAAGTCTCCGTCCAAGTTCCTCGCGGCTGCTTCCCATAATTTAGGCTTTGGTACCTGCGGTTCAACCAGGTCGCTATTCACGGGAATCTCTAAGATGTGCGAATCATCGAATTCCACTGAACTCTTCATAGCCGCTTGAATATCACGCAAGAGCGTGGGAGATTGCTCTCTTGCAAGCTGACTTGAAGTACCGAAGAGAAAATTTTGATTCTCCGCCGCTTTCATGGCGGTATTCGGTGAGAGAAGGACAGACTTTCCCGGCTCTTTCTTTTTCGCTGGCTTTGCTGGTTTCTTGCGAGGTTTCGATTTCGCCTTGCCGTTGGCTGCAGGGCCGGCACATTTAGTAGATTTGTTTTGTGTCTCTTCAGCGACTGTCGCAGAAGCTTCGTCAACCATGTCATTGGTCGGAAGCTTATACGCAGCAGTGGCCAATTCAGTAATGGTGCGGGGCTTTTTCTTCGGAGCCTTGGGCTTTGTTGGGGATTCATCTTGGGGTTCAGGAGTCGTGGAGTTCGCGCTGGTAGCAGGGACAAGCTCGATGAGCTTCCGCTTGTTCAGAAATCCCGGGTTCTCGCCATTTGGAATCGGCCTATAGTTTTCTTCTGGCGCTTCATATCCACACCCCGCCAAAATAGTCTTCAACCCTCTCACTTCCTCCTCGTTCTTAAATGGAGATGTCCTGGTTTCCAATACTGACGCCAAATTATCACAGATAATTTTCTTTGTTTCTGGGGGCGTCCAATCTAGTCTTCGAGCCACGGCCTGCTCTAGATTGAGTGGCAAAGATGGGTCCTCTTTTGCACCCTGAAGAACAGGGTGCGACTTGGGCGTTTCAAGTGGTTGACCTTTTATGGTCGACTTCGAATTTTCATCCACCATCACGACAGAATCTTCTGAGTCCGGAATATACGAGACAAATTTCGGAGGCTTTGGCATCATTCCTCCTTCCATTTCTACTCTAGGTGGTGATCTTTTGTATGCCTTCCAAGGCTGGTCTGGTGACCGGTGACCTTGGCCTAAGACATCGGAAGGTCCGGACTTCGATGGTTCATTTCGAGATTGAACCTGAGACTTAAGGTGTTTTTCGGTAGGGGGTGTGTCATCAATGACCACAGGCGTTTCAATAGACGATGTCAACTTCCAATATTTCGATGTCGAGGCATCTAGCCTTTTACGTTCTTTGGTAGTCGTTGGCTGCTTCGATGCAGTCATGTCTGAGCCCTTCCTCGTTGTCCCCTTGTTAGGTTGCTTCGATGCATTGGATTTTTGAGATAAAAGGTCCTTGAAGGGGGGTAGATCGGGCGAGGACGACTCGATAACGAAAGTATCACGGCTCCTTATTTGCCGAGATGGCGATGTGAAGGCATTATGCGAGGCCATAATGCCTCGCACGTGGCTCCGAGAGCGCAAAGCGCATCTCAAAGACCCGGGGCACAGCGTGTTGGCTAGTCGCGGTAGAGGCCTTCGGAGGAGAGGTATCGGTCTCTGCTGCATGTCATCTTGAACGTCTATCCTATCAAAAGGATTGGAGGCCACGCGGGCCGATAGAGTGGGGTTGTCGTTCGCGAGACTGGCACGTCATCAGCTGACTTTACACGTGACGCACAGAAAGCCCTCGAGCCCCACGAAAATGGGCAACACCACCAAAAAACTAGCGAACATTTTGGAACATCCCACTCCAGCGCTGCCAAACGACTTTCACCCACGTCAATTAACAACTCGAATCCCCCATACCGTCAAAATGGAGAACGACCGTGGCGAGATCGTCGACCTGTAAGAATACAATATCCATTGGACTCAATTCGCAACGCAGACGGCTGACCTTTGGATATTTAGTTACGTCCCGCGCAAGTGCAGCGCCACCAACCGCATTATTAAGGCCAAGGATCACGGCTCTGTCCAGATCTCCATCGCCAAGGTTGACGAGAACGGCCGCGCCATCACCGGCGAGAACCACGTCTACGCCCTCTGCGGTTTCGTCCGTGCCATGGGCGAGAGCGACGACTCCGTGAACCGCCTCGCTCAGCGTGATGGTCTCCTCAAGAACGTCTGGAGCGGCCAGCGCGTGTAAAGAAAAAAAACCAAAAATTGATGAGAGGTGGTTGGAGGAGGCATTAACGACACGTCGACGACGAAAGAACATTTTGGGCGTCAAGGAAGATTCTGGCTAAAATGAAATAAAGTCAGGATGGTCATAGCCTGGAGGCATGGCCGGTTCTAGAGAGTTGGCTGCATCTAGCAATTCCAATTCAGGGCGTTCGGCTCGATTCGAAATACTCCAATGTGTCTCCTTGTGTCCATCTTCTCTCAGTAATTGCGATCGCTTCACCACATCCCGGCTAGCAAAGTCTCCTCGGACTGGCTCGTGGCCACTTCTTGGCCGAGGATTCTGAGGCTACCTCGATAGTCTCCGTGCCGCAGATTAAGTTCTGGCCTTTAAAAAGCCGTGGCTGTTAAGTTCTTCACCATGGTACAGATACGGGTCAGACATGCCTCATTAAATACATCTATTTTCAAAAGTGAACCAACGAGCAACTATATATGATACCTAACTTACAGAACACTCAACATTGCAAGGGATTACATGCCGCTGCTAAGCCCATCCTTGTATGCACTCAGTGCCTTCTCCCTCACCTCCTTGTGAACCACTATAGGCCGAGGGTACCCATTATTCTTCGCTACAGCCTCTGCCCCACGTCCGTATGGCTCATGAATCGCCTTGCCCTGGACGGACGCAAGTTCTGGCACCCATTTCCGAATATACTCTCCATCCGGATCGAACTTCTCACTTTGCAGGAGAGGGTTGAATATGCGGAAATAGGGTTGCGGATCCACCCCAACGCTGGCACTGAACCCCCAGCCCCCGTTGTTGCTTGCAAAATCACCATCTACTAGGTGTTCCATGAAATATCTCTCGCCTTTGCGCCAGTCGATGAGCAAGTCCTTGGCCAAGAATGATGCAACAATCATTCGGCAGCGGTTATGCATATAACCCAAGTGATTAAGCTGGCGCATGGCAGCATCCACAATGGGAAACCCAGTTTTGCCTTCGCACCAAGCCTTGAAGTGATCTTCGTCGTATGACCATGAGATGTTGGCATACTCGGGTTTGAATGGTTTGTTCATACTAGCTCGTGTCAGCGACCTTAGCTTAATCAATCCATGGACTAGAACTTACCAAATGTATGGCCAGTGGACGAGAACATGCTTATAGAAATCACGCCAGGCAACTTCACCAATCCACGTCTGGATTCCCTCGTTGCCTCCGTTCAGCTTTTTGGTCTTATTCCTATCTCTAGCCACTCGCACGCACGTTCTTGCGCTGATTGTGCCGCTCGCAAGATGAACAGACAAGCTCGACGTGCCATTGGCGGCTGGAAGGTTGCGCTGATTGTGGTAATTGCCAACCAACTCCTGGCAGAACTTATCAAGTCGCTTCATCGCCTCATGTTCTCCACAGGGCCAAATAGAACGAAACCTTTTCTTCTCTTTGTCGCTCAGTGACTTATTTTCAGGAGCCTCAGGTATAGGACAGTCGAACAGAGCCTTGTACTTGCTGCGAGCCGCACTTGCATTCTTAGATGGGGGTTCAAAGAGCTCGAGTAAGTCGAGATTTTCATGAACGTGGGCAACCCATGTACGATACCAGGGAGTGTAGACAGCGTATTGGTTTCCGGAGCCGCTGGCGAGGTTCCCAGGAGGTACAACACAGGAGTCATGCACAACCTCGAATGACTTGCCATTCTCAGCCAAATCCCGCACCATGTGAGCCTCCCTTCGCAGCTCATCAACTTCATACTCCATGTTTGCATAAATGTGGTTCGCTCCCCACTCTTCCATCAGCTCCAGTACACGGTCAGGTATCTTTTTGCGCTTCTCGACGGTCTCGACATAGAGGGGAATATCCAGTTTGGCCAGATCTTGCTTCAACACCTCCAAGGTCCGTAACATGAAGTCGACGCGTACAGGTGCTCTCAAATGCGCCTCGAAGTCCTGTGGGCTGACCAGATATAGGCAGATGAGAGGAACTCCGGCCGCCTGAGCCTTGTCGCTGGCAAGTGCCAGGGCTCTGTTGTCGGATTGACGCAGATCCATCTTGAACCAATGAATGACAGAGTCTTTCACGTCTATCTTCTTCCTTGAGCTTCCAGTTTCCTCCATGGCTGAGTAAAGCTCCTCAATTGGCCGGGTAATCTCATTGGCATTGTAGGCGAGGGCACGGTCAGTGCTCATCTCTGGAGGGTAGTATTTTCGCAGCACGATGCCATTAGTTTCAGCTTCCTCGGCCAACGGGTGAGGATGACGGAGATTAGAAGCCCCATTGCTGGTTTTGGACTTCTTTGGGAGAGTCCCATTCTGTGAGCTTGCTGGTTGTCGGCGCTTAGCCATCTTGGCAGCCGCGTCTGTGAAGCACCTGGAAGATGATGAGTCCAGGCCAAAAGCTTGAACCGAATAGATACGATGTGCTCTGTTCAAGTAAGTTGGGAATCTTTTCGGGGCTGGAACGGCGGCAAGCATGGAATGGAAGAATCGTGTAGTGTTACGCAAGGGGCATCGCGAACGGAAGCACATGAGAAACTAGAGACGGGGGGCATATTGTTCATTACTATGGCGACGCGTTGCTTTTTCTAATACGCCTACTTTCCTTCTCATCGAGCGGTACTTAAAATCAGGAGGTGATGTGGTGGTAGAGAATGTACAGCTGAACGATCTCCTCGATTGTTGCACTTGGTGAACTGCCTGTAGATCGATGACGCTAAGAGCTTCCCTAGTGCTCTGCTACAGGAACGGCTTAGTAACCTTGGCCCAGCAGCCATTCTGGGGTTTGCATGTGCATGCACCGCCACAAACAGCTCAGGCATGTGTGGCTAGTGTGTTCCAAAAGACAGGCAACGCAAGTGCCTTGAAGCCTGATCAGTCTGATAACAAATAGGTACCTACCTAGGCAGTATGATGAGATGCTACCAAATCAGAGAACGCCTGCGAAATTTTGATAACTTAGTGAAATATGAATATGAAGAGTGCTCTATCCCTATGTAATTGCCAAGATCGATTGTTGCAGACCCAGAAGCAAGGCAAATCAGAACTGAAGATAATACAGTTGATTCGATGTTATGAAATAACCAACACTCTCTGAAATATGCACCCAAGTGGTCACGAACATTTAATTACGAATGATATTTAAGGATGTTGATGTCAACAAACGAATGTCATTTGTGATCTAGGGTAGGTCGGTTTGCCTTGATGCCCTACCTGTAGGCAGACGCGCCTGTCAGCAGATTCAGTTGCCTGCCCAATGACAACAACACTGGCAGCAACAGTTCATCAATATAATCGGCCTTTGATCTCTGTCTTCACGGAATATTTTAACAAATTCCAGAAGCTCTCTAAGTTCACCCACTGGGTAGCCAGACGGCCTTCATCTGGCAGTTTCCCATTATTATCTGAGGCCTGGAGCTTCTGGCAGTGGATCTTCTCGGCGTGCCGTGTCTTGTTTTATTCATTTCTAGCCTTGGATCTACGCTTCTGTTTCAAAACCGTTGTCTGGGTTCAAAATGGGTTCGGATCCGGCATGGCGACCCCTGCCTCTGCCCTCAGAAGCAGAGCTGCCTGCCCTACTGGTTTCTTTCCAGGTGGAGGCTGCTTCGTACACTGTTCGTGTTACCGATATGGCGAACATGTGGGTTGAGAGTCTGGATCGCAAAGCCATTTGTATGCGAGGATGGGGAGAGAACACAAGTATCGATCCAAGTGATACTCCCGAGAACATGGCGAAATTCTTGTCAAGCATCCATTCCGCTCTCGACCCGTCCCTTGCAGGCCATGATCAAACATCCATGACCCTCTCCCGAGGCTCCATGTCTGATACGGGAGAGGGAGGCCTAACGCTGAGGATAACATGTGATTTGCCTGGACTCCCTGCCCTCAAGTGGCCTATCCATCTCAAAAAGGCACCATCTTCGTCCATCACCTCAAACTTGGTGCTCCCACTTATCCAGGCCCATTATCTGAGGCAAAGAGAGCTGGACTCCTTGGCCAACCTGCTGTATCAGAAAGACCAGGTCATCACGAAATTGCTGGATAAACTAGAAGCTGTTGGTACGGGGCTGGAACACATATTCAACCCCCTTTCAGGAAAAAAGAAGGTCAGCAGGGCCGTCGCAGAGGATAAAGTGAAAGGTTTGGCTCCATTCAACAGGTCTCAATGGGGGAAAGAGTTATGGGAGTCAGAAGGTGCCCCAAGAGATATTTCTGATATGACCTCTAAAGTTTTCGACAGAGATTCTATCAAGATTGACGCTGCATTAACTTTCGAGGATTCTTCGAAGCTCGACATGTGGTGGCGAGATTTCCAAGACACCGTAGCTGTCACAAGCCAAACGACTAAATCACAAGCCCGAGAAGAGCAAGAAGATACGCCGGCACCATCAAAACAGGATGACGATGATGACGACTTCCAGGTTCAAGCCACACCACCTCACCTCGTGTCAACAACGCCATCGAAGGGTAAGAAGAACGCCCAACCTGCCGACGACGCTTCAACAGATAGTGCCGAGGATGCACCTACCTCGAAACAGAATCAAAAGAGCACATCTATCCCCTCAAGTAAACCACAAGGGGCAACACGTCGTCTCGGAGCTATTGGGAGCAAGAAGCTTTCTCCTCCGAAGGCGGCATCAGAGAAGCCTGCTCCTCCCCCGGCTGATGATGATGAGACTGCGTCCGAGGATGGGGATGCTACAGCCTCGGAGGCCAGTGCCTCACCACCACCACCATCGCCCACAAAGACGGCTCCCGCGAAGGGAAAGCTTGGTCGCATTGGAGCTGCCAAGGCAAACCCACCACCGCAGGCCGCCACAAGCCGGGAGCAGTCCCCTGAGAAGAAAGAGCCTGCAGTAGCTTCGCGCTCGAGACCAAATAAGATCGGCATGATAGGGAAGATTACGAAGAGTGATAACCCGCCTGAATCGGCCGTTGATGATACAGCCGCTCGAGGCAGAAAATCCGTGAAAGCCGAACCAGCCGAGACAAAGCCACCCGTGCGAGAAACCTCAGCTGAGCGTGCCGATAGACGGCGAGAAGAGCTCAAGCGAGAACTGGAGAAAAAGGCTGCGGCTGGCCCTACCAAGAAAAAGAGACGATTTTAACGACATGTATGTCTGAGATATGAAACATTCTTAGCCTATATTCACGATTCAGAGGATTGGGATTCAACGCATGCCGCATCTTTCTGCCCATGTTCGTGGTTATCTCCTGCATTTAGAACGGCATTCCCGCTGAAGTTTGGTTTTGCAGGGATAGATGTTTAGATAGGAATTTATTTTCTCCCTTGAGCTCTTGCGAGGCCTTGAAGATCTGTAAGCAGATGAGAAATGCTTCTTTGAATGAAACTACCTGCAGTGAAGATATGATATGCTTTCCCTTGGTACCCATTCTTGCTCAAAGGATCTTGTGATCGTCCCCTGGTTGGACTTAAACTTTGCAAGCATTTAGAAACGTGGTCATCCGGCACATTACCAAGCAAACCCGGAAAGTTCACGCCTTTAACCAGCCCGCTAGAACACCAACATGGAACAGTATGGCTCTCTATTTGCTCAACAAGCTCATGGAATGCAATTTGTCCACTTGTGTGTAATGAGGTGTCATACTAGACGATTTCCCCCTTTCAACTGAAAACATGCCGCAAACTCACGCTATGCGTTCTCCCATGATGGAGTGTTTGTAGAAACCGGGAACATAAACTTATAGAAATGTTGGAACTACAAGCAGCCTAGCAAAGACACCGAGGGGAAACAATGACACACATGAACCAGCAGGATCCTGGGAACTTGGCCGGGAAACAATGTAATGGCCACGCGACCTTGCCTAATTGCCCATTTGAAGCAATTGATCACTGATGCTTAAAATACCCCGACCTAGCCTGGATTGGACACAAAAAGACATTGTCACCAGAGAGGCAGCCATGAATGATGCCGGGGAATATCTGGGTAACTTTTCCCCTAATGTTTCGTCCTGTCACTTTTTTGAAAGGAGATTTGTGCTACAAGATGGGCAGGGAAGACCAGCCGCAGGGGAATGCAACGACGCCATGGAAGGCATCAAACGTGACAGGAGCATGTTACAGCGCCGATGGCTTGTATGACCCAGCAGCAGAAGCCGTTGACAGGCAGATGCCGGTGGGCTAACAGCACCACTCGTTATCAAGTCACACGTTGCATCATCACGGCAGGCAAAGTATAAGGCGCTTCGTGCTACAGGTACCACGCTGCGGATGCCCTGGCCAGAGCATGGATTCCCTTGCACTTTTCTGCTGCTAGGTCTCTCAGCACACCTTTCTGCCCTCTGAATCCACCGGAACGCCTGGGTATTAGGGAATCCGAGGCTGCTAGCAGTGTAATCTGGCAGCATTTTAGTGGCACATGGAATTGCGGTAATCAGAAAGAAGGGTAGATAGGTAGATTTTGTATCCTGTAAGGAATTGGAAAGTCATAACTTCTGGTTCAAATTATCAATGGCAAATGAAAAATGCACGTAGATGTTCGCATGTATGCAAAAGTCATACAACTTGATTTGTGATCTCATAGAAGAGAGTAGAGTAAGCTTAAGATTTGAATATTGTGTCTTTTGCTGCAAACGCTAAACCAATGACACATGAGGCTCAAGTTCATTGTGCAACTGGAAGGAAGACATCGCAGCCATCCTTTTCCCTTCCGTGATACGGCCAAGTTCAAAAAGAGTTGATTTGAAAGTGGCTATGATGTTACTTAATGCTGCATCAGGAGTCAATGCCAAACCTCAAAATCCATGCTCGGGAGAGCAAGAAGCTCGCAACTAGCCTTCTCTCTACTTCAGCAAAAAAGGGGCGCCTAGAACTTGATATGAATGAATGATTAAACCTATAGGATCCCTAAGTTCTGTAGTCCAATTTTGATAAGTTAGAGAGTAACAAGTGAAAAAAATAAAAGGAGACCGCCGTTTGGTTTCATTGCTCGCCTTCCCCGTTTCCAACGCAGTGCCTTACTCCGGTTGCCCTTTGCTGAGCTATATATATACCAATGGTCCCAAACAACCCATAACCCAAAAGAAATAGATGATAAAAAGGAAAACCTTGGAACGATGAACCGCTGATATGCCGTAGTTTGCGCTTGCCCCCGATACCATACACGGTCGCTCTATATAGCGAAGGTTCCATTCCATCCTAAGGCTTGTTACAGCTCTCCGAAGCCATAGTTCAGAGGCGTGTAGCTGCACGAATTCAACCCAAGCCTAGTGACTTTCGTTCCAGTTGTAGAGGCCATCAGGGTACTGGCCTTCAACAAACCCACCCGGAGATCGCGGCTGGCTGGTCCTGTTGCGAGTTGGAGAAAATCCAAGCTGGACGTCGGCGG